TACTGATGCAAACATCAGTTTGTTGTGTATATAAGCGTAGTACAATGAAAGAAGCGTTTTTGGGTTCGTAAATTCTCTGCATGTCCTGTTTATGAACCCTAGTGTTCTATTTGCATCATTTACTATGTGCTCTACGTGGGTGATGAATGAGAGTTTCTCATCAATACATGTAACATTATGTCGATTTTTTGAAATTCTTCAAGTTTTTTGTGACATAATGTAGGTTTTTCTACAAGATATTAACTTAGCACTAGCTGATGGACACGTTGTTAGCTCGTTTTGTGTTGTACGTGTTGCCTAAACGTCATAAGGCTTCAGTTATCAATTTTTGGCTCTGATGAGATTTAAAATCTGCTTCAGAGATGTCATTACTGGAGGTCTAAGCTATAAGTTGTATACTATAGCTAGAAGGAAACGGCAGTGTATAGATGCATAGTGAGGATTTGTGTGTTAATAATATGTGTTGATGATAATTCCATTGGATTCTTGTCTCAAATACACTTACTTGAGATTCAAAGCTAGAAATTAGTTGCGCATCCACTTTTTTTATTCATTCTGGAAATTACATATGCAAATTTACTGAATTTAATGAGAGAAATACGAAATAATTGTATTCACTGTACACTGTCGAATTACAAGTCATATATATGCTAACAGTAATTACACACAACGCAGGCGCGGTGGTGGTTTTCCGTAAAAACGTAAAAAATCGTAATTTATAACTTTGAACATAACCTGTCTTCAGAAAGGACAATATATAAATGACCCGTCGGGCACAGCTGTTAGATACACCTCATTATCAGCATATTCAGTAATAACTTTCTCACACACCAAATATCACATGCCGACCATGACACATAATGAGATGCGATCTTGCTATTCAACAAACTTTCTTCTCAGAGATGACAACTACAGACTACTCAGCTTCACAAAACATGTGCATCCAACAATGAACGTAGTTGAGTCTTTCCTCCATAGATGGACGCTCAAAACGTGGAATGACTGTTTGTACCCTAAAAACTACCTAGTCTGCAAGATGACGTTTTATAGGTTCTTCTTAACGTTTTATAGGTTTTTTACATAATACATGTGCCGCTCAGAAATATGGATTGACTTCTGTGTCATATAGTTAGGAAGATGCAGAATCACCCAATAGTGGTTCTATGAATCTATATATTGAAATATAGTAAGGCATCAAGTATAACCTATCTGGTGTAAAATGACCAGTGCTAGAGCCTTCCATGGCGGCAGGGCTATTATGTAAGAAATCGATATAATATCATTAAAAATCGGCATAATCTCAACTTTTGTACTAAGTAACCGCACCCTCTATGAACGTCACCTATGGTGGAATGGCACAACATTCTGGCAATAGCATCACATCAGAGCCGAACCTTATAGCTCAAGTATCATGGTGTTTAGGCAATACGCACAGCTACTACAAGTGAGCATGAAGTGTAAACAGTTAGTTCCAAGGTGAAATTTTTGAAAAAGACCTACATAACGTCGTTAAAAATCGATAAAATGTACTTTTAGGTCAGGTTACACGGGTATGGCCCTCCGCTCAGGAGGAGGATTATATATCACGGGTGCTTACAACTAACAGTGGTGCGAAAAGAGTTGCGGGCTAAATTTGCCAATGTCAAAAACTATGTTTAGCACTATTCGCTGTTTATAACGTTTACAATTTGGATCTAAAGCAGGAAGGATCGGATTCACCCCGTTTCAGAGATATGATACTACATGCATGCTCTGTGTCACGGAGTGAAATACATAGTAATCCTAAGTACTATGAAACATTCGACTTAATAATCAAATGCAAACATCAAAAAGATAATGCAGTATAACAAGGGTATATTTGCTGCACTAAGCAAAATATGGCATACAAGCTCCATCAATTTTCTAATACAGCGTCATATGTGAACTGAATTTTCTAATTCAGTATGAACCAAGACATTACTGAAATCTCTCTCTGAAACTTGCTGAGCAATGACGCTGGGTTGACGAAATGTTACGATAGGCTTCAGTTTTTGAATATAATGTTGACATTACCGCTAAATACTAATTGACGATCAGGACGATGAATGATTACGATTCCCTAAGCTTTTTCAGAAATACCTACATTTTTCTAAAAAGGTCATTAAAAAATAAATAGGATGGCTATACTAATGAGAGTGCTAAATAGGACAAAATAGCGCTGACTGCGATTGGTCATGGTTAGAGAGACAGAAAACAATCACGTCCAGTTTAGCCTGTGACTGCTTCTATATTTATGCATATAACGCCACTGCGGTCAGTGCTGGATGGCGTAGGTTTTTCAGAGTTACCGGCTCAGACTACCAGCATTGATTTCGTCACCCATTTGCGCACAATAGCTTTACTCCTCACGACATAAGAATTGTATCATCTACACTTGAGCTCTGCATGCATGTCTTGATCGTCATTCCATTTCCAGTTGGTTGTTCCTTGTACCAGCATGCTCATCTGAACCGCGGTACGTTTTTAAATAATATCCCATCCCGATCTCCCTCTCCCTTAGTGATCCTAAAATGTAAATTTTTGCATTTTGAGTCACAAACGAGAGTCAATCAAGATAACTCCAGCTTGAATGATTAACTGGATGACCATTACCTTCTTTCGATTTTGTGATTCACTTGTAACGTGATTTTATCGTATGTCTTTTCACTTACTCAGTTAAACTATTCATTCCAACATATCTGTAAAAAAGACATCTCAAAACATCAGTGCAGGGGAGACCGGAGATGGTTGACTATAGGGGTAGGTAGACTAACTACCAAACCGCCAACGATATGAGTATTACGTCATCCCGGCCCACACGCGCATTACTCTCCGACCCCCACTCAGTTGTCCCGAGCTCCACGACATGGATGCACGCCGTTTTCGAGCAGTGACACGTGATTTGTTTTCGTATCATGAAAGTAATATACCCATATTGCATATTTTTCCATGTGACACTTACGTATTTTCTGTTAACCATTTTCCAATTAGTCAGAGTGTTTCGTGAGTGCATATTGATAATATTTCATGTATTATTTATTAAGTTGATGGCAATGTTTAGGGAACGCATGCCATTGAAACTTAAAATGGCGTCTGGGGTTAGTAGACTAACTTCTTTCGGGGCTGGTTGAACAGTTATTCAACCAACCCCAATATAATTTGAAGTTTAAAATATCTCGTAAATTAACCTTTTATTCGTGTTTCAATATTCATTTTGTTACAGTACAATGATGACCTATAAAAGAAGGACTGAACGAGCTGATACTCCAAAAGATGTCCTAGAAAGAGCTTGCCATCTAATAATTTTTGACACAAAAAGTATTAATGAAACTTCAAGACAATATGACATTTCCTATAAGGCATTACATCTTTATCTGGAGAAATCAAAGGAGAAATTGGACCGTACTCCGAACTTGACGAGAGCAGAACTAACTTTGGACTCAGTGGGATATATTAAAAATAGGCAAGTTTCCACTGATGAAGAAGAAGAAGAAGAAGCTTTAGCAAGTTATTTAAAAAAAGCCGCTGATATTTATTATGGATTGACACCATATGAGACCCGAAAATTAGCATGTCAGTTCGCCATAAAAGTAACAAAACTATGCCTGATTCTTGAAGAATAAAATTGTTAGCGGGCGAAGATTGGTTAGGATCGTTTCTCAAACGTCATCCTTCCTTATCCATAAGGACACCTCAAGCAACAAGCCTTTCAAGAGCTACATCATTCAACAAACATAACGTCAGTATGTTCTTCGCCAATTTATCTGATGTTTACCAACGTTTCAATTTCAGCCCTGGTGATATCTGGAACGTTGATGAAACAGGTATGACAACCGTACAAGTACCTAATAGAGAAATAACACGACGCGACGTGGTGTTAAAAATCTAGGCAAGATGACATCTGCTGAGAGGGATACACTGGTGGCAGTTGCAGTAGCTGTTTCAGCTGTGGGAAATATAGTTCCACCATTTTTGGTATTCCCATGCGTCCATTATAACATAAGTCCCATCCTGTTAGAGGTGGCCCTATAGGATGTGAAGGTGATGCTAATCCGTCTGGCTGGATGAAAGAAGAGAACTTTATAAAGTACGCCAAATATTTCGTGAAACATGTTAAACCTAGTAAAGAAAAACCTGTACTTTTGTTGTTGGATAACCATGACTCTCACTTATCGATTGAAGCGTTGCATTTCTTTAAAACTAGGGTGTCAGTTTTATAATTCACTCCACATTGTAGCCACAAGCTACAACCTCTTGACAGATCTGTGTACGGACCATTGAAAAAGTATTTCAACCGAGCAAATGACAACTGGCTGGCTAGTAACCCGGGAACGACTATCACAATTTATAAAATAGCGGACCTGATTAAAACGTCACTACCATTGGCTACTACAATTGAAAATATTCAATCAGGATTCGGAGTATCTGAGGTTTCACCATTGAATGAAAACATTTTTCCTGACTCCGAGTTTAGTGGTTCTTATGTAACAGATAGGCCGATGCTCAGTTCCCCTGATGGTGATAATCCTTCAGCATGTGATGTGAGCACAGTGTCTGTTCCATCGATTGCTGAAGCATCTAACAGGTTGTCTATCGTCTAGGAGGTTCCAATTCCTGATCACCATACGATAACTGAAACTCACTCTCTGGCACCGAAATGTTTATCTGTAAATACAGACCAGATTACTACTCGTACCACAACAACCTCTCCTACAAGATCTTTGAGGACTGAATGTGAGTCACCTTCTCTTTTTGACGAAACATTTAATTCTGTATTTGAACCGGAACTGAGAGAAAACCTCAAAACACCAGAAAACGTTCATTCTACAGAAGAATGAACGAACACAATCTAAACCTTTCCTCAACTTCATCAGCAACATTTGAAGAGCTAAGACCCTTTCCAATACCGGCGCCACTTTTAGATAATAGAAGAAATATTCGGAAACGTAAAAGTACTATACATAATTATATACCGACACCCCGGAAAAACTCAATCTTTTAGATGTGAAAAACAAAAGAGAAGCATATTAGAAGAAAAAACCAGATACAAAGGACAAAATAGAAAAAGGAAAAGGGAAGGGCAAAGGAAAAGGAAAGGGCAAAGGAAAAGGAAAGGGTAAAGGAAAAGGAACGGATAAAGTTGATGAGATTGCTGATGTCACCGTCCATGAGAATGATGGTAATGCTGTAGATTCAGACGACGAGAGTACGATGTGTTTAGAGTGCACTGAATTCTACGTCGATAGTGTTCCAGGCGAACAATGGATTCAGTGCATAACTTGTAAGTTATGGGCTCATTCCAAATGTGTAAGAGATGATCTAATGTTTTTTGAATGCAAACATTGCGCTTCTAATATTGAAGACTTATATTATAAGATATCAAGGAACTGTTTAATTAATGAAACTAATAGATGTTTAAATAAAAACTAGGAGTTGATAGTTTTGTTAAAGACTTCTTGTAAGATAATGTCTGTAACTGATTAATGGTGGGTTCATGCACGATTTAAGCTAACTTAACTTAAGAAAATGAGCATTTCATGCGCATGCGCGGCCAGGATTGCCAACGTAGCAGTTGAGGCAACATGAAAGTTAAATACCCTTAAATAATCATATGTTTAACGTCAAAGTAGCAGATGAAAGAGTGTTTTGTGGCTTATGTGTCACGTGGACTGGCGGGCCAGCCTTGACGTTGACAAGTGGCCCCTCCCCACACGCTTGCGCCAATGCAGGTCAAAGAACTCGGATAATAGTCCAGATAATATGGGAACATCTGCTCGGAAAACTCTTCCGATTCCTATTTTTGCATAATCTGATTCAAGGACCTCTTAAAGAATCTGCATGTGACTAGGCCCAAAATTGCTCCAAAAATTGTTATTAAACCGATTCCAAAAATTGATTTGTTCGCTTTGCTTAAAGTATTTTGCGGTTTTTAGGACATTCTAAATAAAAAATGAGCTTTAGAACTTTTCCAGGACTTGATATATACAGGTATAAGCAATGTAAAAACTCAAAATATGTCATTTGCTACCCTAAAAACAATACGAAAAATGAATATTTTGTTGTTGCCAAATCTCACACATGCTTCAACCAACCAAAAACAAAACCCCCAGAGCATTTGAATGCGCGCTCAATGTATAGTCTATGTCTATGTGAACGCGAGAGAGATGAAATATCTCTCGTGCACGCTGAATATGCATTGAGCGTCCGCTTGCATATAAACTAAATACAAAGATTTATAATAACAGTATCTCCTAAAAGGTATCGTTAATGGTTATTTATGAAGCATGGCGACATTAACATTTTCGTTTTTTCAGATCGTTCTTCGGTATCGCAAAATCAATTTTTTGTACTTTCCCATCTCGTACAAAATCAACTTTTGACAAACATTGTCAAACATCATTTTGTTTCGGAGTATCAAAAAAACGAATGCTACCTTTGATGAAGCGAAAACATTAATTTTTGTAATTTATTTGAAAAAGTTGTTCAAAGAATTAGAGACGCAATTTGGAGCCTGACAACATGTAGATTTGTTACTAGGAGGCTTTTTCGAATAACATGCAAAAAGTCCGAATCCGAATATTTTCCTGAGCAGATGTGAAGATATTTCTTGGACTATAACCTCGACGGCAGCGCCACTTTTCTTGGCTGGAAATCTGGTGGAACTATAAATATTGAAAGTATGCCGACAACGCATATCAGGAATGTCAGGAATGTGTCGGCGATTTCATTTGTTTACATTATGAAATCTGACTGACGACCGATATTGAGGCAGTTCGATGATCATAGATGCATAACACATCCTCAATAAAGGGAGTATTTCTTTCATCAGTTTGACTAGTAATGAATATCAGGATAATAAAAAAATGTATAATTAAAAAAATATTTACTGAACAGTCACAGCAATAATAGAACAAATTCTTCATTACAATAAATTGTACATACATAGAGGTATTCTACTCATCTGGATTTTTGTCTATATTATGAACCTGATCAGTGCAATATCATGCAAGCACTATCTCTTGTTAATTGATCAGGTATATTTATTGCGAAAACATAAATACTAAAATAACAAAAAATACATCTGTAGGTAGAGGACTGACTGGAATACAAATATAATCACTCTGATATGTGAATCAAAAATAGTTTTGCGCACACTGTTTAATGGGTAAAGGCAAACAAAATTGTCCTCAACAAAAAAAAAAACACATAAAACAGTAATTGTTTCTTCAAACTAGGAAACAAACTGTCATTGACAATTAATTTGGTATCCATAAAATAAATGACGATCTTCATTCCAAATGTCTCCTCGAAGGATTTTGACACTGTGAAACAAAAAAAAAATTATTAGCATAATATCACTGTCATATTTGGTCAGCAAGCACTAAACAGAAACATAGTCATCTCACCACGCCCCTTCAGATGATACTGCTCTGTACATATGTATAATTTCCCAATCAGTATACATTTGATTGCCAAAATTTTGTGTTTAAAAAAAAAAATTTCATTGGTGATACCAAATGCCAGTCCTGAATTTGGCCCTTTACCAGGTTTGTTATTACCAACAGTACAGATGTCACAAAAAAAGTTACGTGCTACTCAATCTGTTTACCACAATAAACGTCAAAAGAGATTACATATTTGGTGGGCTGCGAATACACAGCATTCGTCAGGTGTACACCTGGTTTGTAGTTAATGACAAAGTACCTTCACAGTGTTCTGTGAGGTTTTGGAAAAACATGTCATGGGGGGCATGGTATAGATTTAAATTCTCTTTTTTCTTCTGTAGGGGCTATAATTTGCCAACATCACCACTGGTACAGTCTCAGACATGAAAGTGTTTGCATCTATCAGCTATGAAGTCAATACTACAAGCACAAAATTTTAAGATCATTCCCATTTTTTTTTTCGTTCTCTAGAATATATTTTCAAAATCCTCTATCTTGGTATTTTTTTCATGCTGTTTTTTGATCTAATTTATGAAGGAAACATGACCACTGACTTTAATTATTATAATTTTTAACATACATGATTTTTTTTATCAATCCGCCCCGATGTTCAGCTCTAAACTGTCATGCGTAAGCAAGCGCAAATAATTTTTCATACAAGTATCACCGAACCATCTGCCCATACAGCGATATAAAATCGATCAAACATCACGATATAAATATCGACTATCGACTTTTGTACAGTATCGATGGCTCGTAGCCATCTTCTAATTCCAGCTGTAGCGATCAGCTGACCAACGCTAGTGATCCGATTGGTTGGTTCTTAAGGAAAAGTTCAATATATTGAACTTTAATTTAAGAAGTGACCTTGAAATTAAGAAAACGACCATAACCTCAATATATTTTGTCATTTATGCAAAAATGAACTGATTTGGATACTTACTGCAACGTCATCATTAGGCGCTCCTCTGGCGATGTCCGATTGCGTTCAGGTGACTTCTGCAGGTACCTCTTCAACAAGGTCAGGAGTTGATACCAGCGCGGCTTTTCGTTATTTTGCTCTAGGCATGGCCATCCTCAATTAATCGCACAAAAAACGAGTCAAAGGCAGAAAAACACACCCGAAGACGAACACCAAAACAAATCTCTACCACAAATTCGTCAACAACTCAAACAAAAACAACAGATGAGTCACTGCCTGGCTTTCTGGGTAAATCGTCGTGGAACACGGGACACCACAGAATTATTATAATTACGTCAATACGAGCATAGAACAGTATGGAAAAGGCTATCCAAGGGTAAGACGAGTTCCGAAACCACCCGAATCATGTCAAAAAATAGGTGAGACGTCACCAAAACGTTTGACCACCACTGGAAGTCACTAGCTAGTTACTATCTGGAGGCGTAACATGTGGAGGACACTGGTGTAGAAACAGCTGATCCTTAAGTTCGGTTAGTTTAAGTCGTGCATGAACCCGACATAAAACTGTTTTGGAATAAACAGTTTTGTTAAATTATAAAAAAAGTTTCATAACTTGACTCTTTTCATAATTTGTCCGTTATTGATACTTAAGTCTACTTACCCCGGGCATATAGTCAATCTACCCCGGAGCCGCGGTAAATTGACTAAGAATTGGAATGCGTTAAATTATGATCATTATATTGAATAGAATAACTACTTTTCATATTTTTTTATAAGTTCAGTAGTTCTTCTATCCATTGATGCAGTTTTATCGTCTGTATGTATAAAAGCACAAAAAATATGTATAATGTAAAAAACTAGTCAACCATCCCCGGTCTCCTATATAAACGAACCCTTACTTACCTATAATAGTTGAGTATTTGAGCAAAGACCCCTGGATGTCTATCGAAGAAATACTCGTTCAATATAGGATCATAGTTGGCGAGCGCCTCGGTGAGTCGCGACAACCTCGTAGCTGGGATTTTCTTCAACGTTGCTTTGTATGTTTCGTATCTGATTCCTCCAACGTTCAATATGATACGATTTTCGCCGTCCATAACGCCATTGCAGAATCCGGTTTAGTTTGAAATTATCTGAAATAAAAGCAGGAAATGTAAACACTTTTCCAACCCAACGACAAGTAATGTTATTATCGACCTGGATTTCTAGTTCCATTACCGATCTACCAAGGTATATAAAACAGGCGCATACCTAAAAGGGCTACATGTAGATTAGAGAATTGAAAATGTGATTCATCAAGATCTTGAGAATCTGGTGCTGATTATTCAAGCATACTACTGGTACTTTTAAGGCATATGAAATTATTTTCAGTATTGGATTAACCTCATACTTCTGGTGAATTTTAGCTGTTGTAAGAGCTTTCGTAATGATGTGTGCACATGAAACTCTTCTTCAGATGACGCTGGTATCGTACGATTCAACATGTTCCTAGATGATTAATTAAGCAACAGGTAGTACCCATCAGCATCTTCCAACAAGGTATACAAGCAGGTTCAGACAATCGGTGTTACGACCACCCTACATCGGTAATCCAAAAGGACAGGAGATCAGGAGATATATTGCGCGCTAGCCCAGATCCCTCTTGTGTTAAATGAGGAGCAGGATTGAGGTCAGGAGCGGCTCGTACACAAGAGATCTTAGGCATGTCGATACCCCAGCTCCAAAAAAAAAGCATACGAAAATTTTCAGAGAATTGATACACGGAATGGCCGATAAACTAGTCTCAGGAAGGCTTGCACGCTGCACTTGCTGAAAATTCTATAAGAGATACAAACACTGTTTTTATCAAGACAATTTTAGCGGGGTGACAGGAAATATTATATTCTACCGAGAACAGATCCGAGGCAACTAAAATTCGTCTGATACAGCTGAATGAAGTCCTAGCGAGTCAAAGAGAACTAAGGTGTTTCAAGGAAAGCTGGGGCAATTCAAGAAAAACCGGGGCACGTTAAGGACGTTTTCTATCTTGACGGGAGGATTAGAGCAATCCATGGAGACTCTTATCTACTGACAGGAGATCCTAGGCAATTCCAGAAGATCTAGGCAATCCAAAGAAACTTGAGCCAATTCATGGATATCTGAGTATATCAAGGTGAGTTGAAGAAATGTGAGGTAATACAATGAGATACAAAGAAGCCTGAGTGAAGATATTTTTTTCAACGCAGGGTCAGTGGCTAATGGTTAGCTCTTCGGGCTTTAGCATTGTACGCTAATGGCTATATCTAGGCACTTTTCCTTCTTAGTTCCAGATACGAGGGACGTCTTTTGAGTTTTGCATATAGAAACATATTAGGCCGCGCGGATCGAACGACAGTACTGAATGTTAACCGCACTTTTTAGTAAACTTAAATTCACAACAGTACGTGCAGTGTTCTCACTACAGTGAATTTTTAAGTGTCACCAAGTCAGTAGAAAAATGGAACTCAACCGAGAACATTTTCGCGCCATAATTTATTACAACTTTCAGAGACAATTATCGCAACAAGAATGCCTTGCTGAGTTACTGTCTGTTTTCGGCAACGAAGAGCCACATCAGTCGAAAATTTGCCGTTGGTATGGAGAATTCAAACGTGGACGGGTGAGTCTTAGCGACGATCCCATGGTGGGTGCACCAAAAACGGCAGTCACCCAAGATAACGTCGATGCTGTGCGCAAACTCATCATTGAAGATAAACAAGTGACATATCGCGAGATTGAGGCGTCCTTGAAGATCTCAAGGACCTCAATTCAAAAAATTTTACATGAAGAATTAGGAGTAAGAAAATTAATTTCTTGTTAGATATCCCACCTGTTGGCTGAAGAGCAGAAAGCAGCCAGGGTTAATTGGTGTCAAAAAACGCTTGACCGTTTCAATTCCGGAAACTCAAAAACTGTGTACAGGATTGTTAGTGGTGATGAATTGTGGATTTACTGTTATGAACCAGAAAATAAACGACAGTCGGCTGTTTGGGTGTTCCAAGGTGAAGAAAAGCCAACAAAAGTCATCCGTTCTCGAAGTATTTCGAAAAAGATGGTCGCAACATTTGTATCAAAAGCGGGTCATATTGCAACAATTCCTCTGAACGAGCAAAGAACTGTTACTGCGGATTGGTATACCACCATTTGTTTGCCAAAAGTCATCACCGATCTTCGAAAAATCAACCCCGAAAGAAGAATCATCCTCCACCAAGACAATGCAAGCTCGCACACAGTCCAAAAAACAAGGCAGTATTTAATGGAAGAAAACGAGGAATAATTGGACCATCCTCCATATAGTCCCGATCTAAGTCCTAACGATTTCTTTACTTCCCCGAAAATTAAAAACAGACTGCATGGTCAAAGGTTCCAGTCAGCAGAAGAAGCTGTTGACGCATTCAAAAATGCCGTTTTGGATCTGCCAGCAAACGAGTGGAATAAGTGCTTCGAAAATTGGTTCGAGCACATGCAGATGTGTATTAATCTTTGTCGAGAATACTTCGAAAAACAATAAAGTCATTTAAAACTACCTACCGTGTTGTTTTATTTCCATATGCAAAACTTAAAAGACATCCCTCGTATCCAGAATGTAAGAGAAGAAATTGCAGTAAGCTGTTTTACAACGGAATTATATTCTTGTGTGTATTTAAAAAGGCAGAAAAATTCGCGTATATTCAAATGGCTATGGATTGGTGGTAAGAGCGTTCAAAAAAATAAGTAGGGTATGAAAATGTCTTCTGAATGAGATCTTGTACGGCCAGTTTGCTATTTTTACTGGAAAATACATAACAGTAAATCTGAAATAAAGGACAAAACGTATAACCTTTGTGGTACTAAACGTTCAAAAATCAATTTCGTTCAAAAATCTTCAACGGTTTCTGCAAATTTTTAATTGTTACCTTCAATTCCTTTTTTTTCTTACAAAGGTGGCCCTCTTTGACGAGCTGCGTTTTTGGATCAATCAGTTGACCTAGTGCTGCGCTCATCTTTTTGAATGATCATTGTGTTAAAAGGGATACCAGAGAGATATTCTTATACTAACCATGTAAGAAAGTGTCGCCAAAGGTACACCTATTTCTGTTCATAGTAGTGCAAAATTCGTTGCTGTTTGTCATTCGTAGCTAAAGTCTCACCACTGAAAACACGATCAAAACTAGATGCTTTACCAAAAAGTTAACCTTCTTTTGGCAATTATAACCGAAAGTAACATTTTTTCTGAAAGAAACCACCGTAACGTTAGTGATCAACACTAATTCTTCCCATGCATAAAAGAGAATTTGGAGTTTATTAAGCTCCCTGTTGAAAAGTGAACCGTGTCATATTGCGACTACGAGCACCCTGTAAAGGTAAGGCATCCTACGGCAAATTCAAATGGCATATAAATATTTTTGACAGCTTTGCGTTGGTATTCAAAAATGGACACGAGTTCAAACCTTCCTGTAGATGCTACTTTACCATTTTATTGTCTATCTGTCGTGTTTCTTCGACCCCTTAAGGTCCAAAGAAGTTCCTTTTTTTGCAGAGTGTGTATCTCTTATCAGCCATTCAGTGGGAACAGCCTGGGGCTTGATTCTAAATGAGTTTCGACCGTTGAAATTGATTTCGATGGCGCCTTGTGACGGTATACTTAATTAGCTATGATAATTTTGGCACTGCCATGATAATTTCATCAAAGGTATCGTCACAAGGCGAAATGAAATCAATTTCAACGGTCAAAACTCACTTAGAATCAAGCCCCTGATTACGACTGTCAAAAATCAACGAATTTCTTACAAGGCAAAAATAGAGGTACCTTTGGGGACGTTTTCTTATACGTTTACTATAGGAGAACCTGGTATCTTCTTTGTTACCATGTTAAACTAAGTCTTTAGCAAGGGAGTGAGTTTAATGTGCAGCGATTTGATTGATCCCAAGTCGCTGGACTGCTTCTCAAGGATGGCTGTTTCTCTCAAAAATTAATAATATTTTTGAAGTATTTTAAGCTCTTTCCAATAAAGGATAGGATTGGGTATTGACTTTTTTTGTGATAACAAACTCGCCGTTACTACAAAGTGACCATGTATGGATCCAATTTTATCCCCTACAACTTCTTTTGAACCACCTACACCGCTCAAAATACAAAAAAAAACAGTTTTTTCAAATTTGCCGTTTGATAAGAAAGTTTACCGGCAAAAATGTCTATATCTTTCGTTGAGGGACATTTTGATATAATAATATTAATATAATTCCGTTGTAGAACGGATTAATACATTTTTTTCTTAAATATGGTCGATTTTTGGATAGTTAGCTTGGTTACAGTTAATAATTTACAGAGCGCTTGGGACATATGCTACATAAAATATGAACAAATAAATGAATATGGGCCACCACTGCCACAGTTATGGACTACACCGATGTGCCGACGATTATCTTATCTTCATAAAATAATAATGGAATTGCTCTACGGCATATTGTATGTTCTAATGTAGTTGCCAGCTAGAGAGCTAGAAGTCAGATATCGTGAATAGCGTGTTACAAACTGTTTTTATTGGAGAACTACGTCGATAAACAGTTCTGGCCAGCCTGACAAAAACTAAGTCTAGATTAGCTTCAATGAGACATTCAGATTTTGTTTTACCCTGACAATTGTAATACGAGTACAAACATCGGGTGTAAATGACCGTTATGCTATATGTGTAAATGTTTCACTGCGATTTGTTCCTCTTGTGATATTTTTTCTGATCGAGAGAAATCTGTATTGGATTGTTACCGAGATTGGTACCTTGGTGTGATATAGAATCGATATGCTAAGAGCTATTTCCAGATTTCAAATACTGGCATACTTGTATAAATTTATTTGCGTTTTTTTTATTTTTTATTTTTTTGGTGTTCCGCTGTTGTTAAATTATTGACTCACATTCGTTGTTGGTATATTTCCTGTAATTGGATGTAACCTGTTGGGAGTTATAGATAAATAAATAAATAAATCTGGAATTTCTATACTTATTTATTGTTTGACACATTATGCTTAAAAGGAATGATCATCGAAATTATTGATAACAATAAATTGTTTTCGTTTCGTAAGCTTAAGGAAATAAGGCCGAAGATTTATTGAACGTATACGAACACGTTGTTGGGC